GAGCCTCATCCATCTTGCTTACATAATTAAATATCACATGGGCGTAGGCTATTGATAATTTGATGATACCATCGATGTAAGGGAGTAGGCTATTGATAATTTCTAAAGAATACAGTGTTCTAAGAAACAAAGGCGATCATAACCCTTGTTTTGTTTTGACAACTAGAGATAAGAGAAACAAAACATTCAATTAATAGTCCATATAAAATCCTTATTTCTCCAACAAGGGCGTTTGGATAAGGTTAAGGCATTCTTGCTATATCCTATATACTCCATGTACGTGTTTTGGTCTAATTAATATATCCAAGGGTATATGCTGGAGATTTTGTTAATTCCTTTTTGATAATCCCGTATGTAGCTTTGTTTTAATTTCTAGCTAAAATGGTTAATTATCTACCTGCATCTCTGGTTGTGCTTGGACATTAATTGTAGAGAATGGGAATAAGTGCCACACTTTGATCTCAGGCCTTACCTATAACACGTCCAATAAGCGGATGGATTGGAAACCAGTTGATGATTGATAGCTACACTACTACTAGTGCGATAAGCCTTTATGTTCTTTAATTCATCTCTTACCCTTGAATGATAGATAATTAAATAGCTTTGAATATTCCAAGTATATATGATTCCAATCTAAAGTAAAAGAGGGTTTGAATCCAAGTGATGAAATCACTAAAAGATGTATGTAAGAAGCAAGTGACAATAACTTTGGACAAAGCTTGTGGTGACCCCAAAAAAGAAAAGTAGTCAATCATTTATGGGTAGGCCTTTAAGTGGACACTGCATGTTAGGTGTCTCCAACCAGTGTTGACAAATAAGAAAAGGGCAAGAGAGTGTGAAGCAGTGAAAGTGATTGATGGAAGAATGGTGCAGTTCTGGGTGGATGATTATCCACAGGACCTCCCTTCAAGCTTCTCCATTTGAGTCTTTGGAGTAATAAGAAGATACATGTCGGTACATGAATGTAGACGAACATTGTCACTTACACATACTTACAAATACTTTCTGTGCACCCTAATAAGTTCAAAAACTGATGACACTGTCTACACGGTTGCCTGCTGTAACGCCAAAAAGGTCGCCTCTCTTGCAATTTAATTACAACCTAATGGAACACTTGACACGTTGAATTAAGTTGCAGTCATATCTCCCTTACAATAAGAACCGGTTTGCTTTTCTTTGTAATATTTGATCACTTCAACTTAATTTGAGAGGGTGTACTGCCAAACAAGTCACATGGCCAGATTGGGGAGAGGTGGGTTTCGAGCATTGGAGCTTCTAATCCTTTTTATCTAATTTCTTTACTTCTCTACTTGTGAATGGTGGCATCACTATGGTGTTGACCTTCTTAGTTATCACAAACATTCAAAGATTCCACATCCGTGTTCATGTTTGATATTTAGGTTTTCTTTGATATCATTGTCGCTTTTTCAAGTAATAATCGCATCTTAAATTCGATAAAATACTTCGAGTTCTGTACATATTTTATAATATCATTTGATGCCAACTGATTGGTGCAAAATGAACAAAAAAAGTAAGAAAATGTTTTATTTTTTTTTCCATTAGTTCAAATGATTTAAAAATACTTAAAATTAAAAGTAGAGGAGAGATAAAACACTGAATCTCACATGAAGAAAATGACAACGATACCAAGCATAAGAATTGTACGATGAAGTGATTACAGTGAGATTCAAGGGTGTAATTGGATGAATCATGAATTTAAGATTGTAACTAAAACAGCTTCTAGCAATTAGCTAGCCAAATCACACGTTTACAAGTCAAAATAATGTTTTCCGGTTGGACACATTCAACGTGGGTCCCAACATCTAGTTACTGGACATGTGGCAATTCATACACCTTGGAAATCTTTGGCCTCAAAGAAAAATCAAAATTAAACCACGTCTGCAGCCTATGGAATTTGGATTCCCGAACAATCTATCTCCTTGAGCAGTTGGGCTTGCTTGGGTTCAACGTTGTGATTAGGTGCATGAACTTCCCACAAAACTTCCAGATAATAGAATGAAATTCCGGGAAAATGAAGGGAATGGATTTGGACAACTTACAATCTCACCAGCTTCATTTGAGTTGTCAATTTATCACCTGTCGCGCTGAATAAGAAGGAGATATTAGAGCCGATCGTTTCCCTCCTGAGTTTCGTGTTTGTTGGACCTAGCCTTCATGTTCAGACCACCATACGGATTATCTAATCCATAATTCCATATATATTTTCTTCTCTCTTCATTTAAGTTTCTCTTTTCATCTCTTTTTCCCACTTTCTTTCTTTTTTTTATCTCTTTTGTAAAAACAAACGATCAGATATTCGATATAAAGAATTTGCACTGTATTAAAAAATTAAAAAATATTTTGTCCAATGAATTATGGTTAATTAATTATTCACCATTACATCTATTTGGTTCCGTTTACATTTATTGAGTAAATGCTGCCACATAGGCATCCCACCAGCAAAGACTTCATTAATTGCATCCCTATTGTAAATATCGATTTTTGTGCACCTCTCCCATTTCGGGAAGCTTCATTTTAGAGTTTCCTAAAACAGGTAGGCATTTATTGACACTTTGCTGATGGTGGTGCCTAATGGCGCCTATGTGTGATAAATGCCCTCATTAATTGTTTTTCTCAGTTTTGCAGTCAGACAAATACAAAACGTTTATTCAATAAACATAAACGGAACCAAGCACCCTCTAGATAAAATGTGGACTTCAAAAATTTTAAGAGGGGGAGATGAAAAAGCATCAACGGCTTATCACTAGACCTGTTCATGGGCCGGGCTGGGCTTTGACTCTTTATTAACAGAATAATGTTAGGCCCGAGCCCGAGCCCGACCCAACCAACGGGCCTACAACTTGGGCCCGTACCCGGCCCTGATTAAAAGCCTGAAGCCCAAGCCCGACCTAATAAAAGAAATTCGAATTTTTCCCTATTCAAATGGACATTTTCTATTTTAATTTAGATGTTTTTTTCCCCTATTTAAATGAACAATGGGCCTACAAGTGAATCAACAACATTCTCAAATCAAAAAATTTATTCAAATGGACATCACATAGGTTTTTATTTAGGTTTAACTATAGGCCGGGCCGGGTTTACTCAGGTTTAACTATAGGTCGGGCCGGGCCGGGCTGGGCTGGGCTATTTTGGCAAAGCCCGAGCCTGGCTCGAATTTTATGCGGGCCGGGCTTTTTGGCCCGAGGTTAAACCCGCGGGCTAAAAAGCCTGTTCAAGCCCGTTTGGGGGTTGGGTCGGGCCGGGCCGGGCCGTCGGGCCACCCGGCCCATGAACAAGTTTACTTATGGCATGTCCTATATATTTTCCTTGAGGCAAAACTGTAATACAAATTAATGAAGAGAATCAGTTATTGTAGCAATAAATAAGATCATATTTAATGAATTATTTACTAAAAAAGACAAAAAAAAGTTGATGAAGATAATCAATATCTATATAGCTCTCTTAATTATATCGGATGGATATAAATTTTTTGGTATCCTCAAAACAGCACTATGGCTAGTCAATCACTCTTAGAAAATACAAAACCATTTAGAAATCTCACCTAACCTGTATTTGGCATTCTTTATTTTAATGACTTTTTTGAAGTTCAAAACCCAATGTAGGCCATTTTAACATAAAAAAAAGGAGATAAGTCCTTAAAATAAGGAATGTCAAATGCAACTTTAATGTTTTAGCTTGAACAGTCTCTTGAGATAATGTCAAAAGTCTATTTGACCAAGTGGTCTAGTATTCAATCCATATTGTCCGATTATAATCAATTTCAACATATGGTATGAGTGGATCTATGATTATTCACATTCTAAGGGGGTGAGTTAGAGAGAGAGAAAATAATCGATATATATGTATGACTTTTACTTTTACATTTGAAGTTTAGTGGAGAGAGAGAGGAAGAATGAAGAGAGAGATCATATATATCATAAAAAACATAATATTGCTTTCATTGAATTCTCAAATATGCTTGTGTGTGTACGTGTGTATGTCTATGTTTAGGAAGAATAGATGAAAAGTCTATTACTTTTCTCTTACTAGTTCTCCTAAAAGCTTCTTCTGAGTGCAAATATCTGTGTGCCTGTGCCATTTTTTGCCAAAGGGCTAAACTTTGGTTCCTCGATTACTTCACGTGCTTGTATACGAATTAAAATTCTTATATATGAAATTATCAACTGTTCTTTTAAAGTAGTATATATTTATTTAATGGGCCTAACAACTTAAGCTTCAATTTTAAAAGTATAATAAGCTTCAATTTTAAGAGACCAACAGCTAAGCCTCGTAAGATATTTCTTTCCATAAATTATTTTTGTCATCATACAACTAACTCGTACGCGCCAATAATTTCCTGGGAATCATATAGATTGAAATTGTGAAAATCTGCACCATAATAAATGGGGTGTTGGCCAATGTGAGCTGAATATCTAAATATTTGAGTTCGGCTGGGAAAGGGAAACATGAGGTTTGAGTTTGAGTTTAAATTTGATTCAAACTAGAGAAATATGAGTTTGAATTTAGTTCAGCTCAAAAGTTGATATATTCGATCGAGGTCGATAGTGAGTCAAGCTTCATATAAATATATATATATATATATATTTAGGTTGAATAGGCTTAGAAGCTGCATGATCCAAACTCAAATAACTCGTAAAAAGCTCCGTCTGAATGCAGGGCGGTGATTCAAAGTTTGCTTTTTGCGAAGAAACATGGATGGACCGGCCTAGACATATAAAGCTCTGGTGGACACAGTTGCAGGAAAATAGAAACAAACAGTACTCTTCTTTCCCAAGCTGTAACTCTGTAAGAATAAGAAAGATCCATATTGGAGTGTTTTTTCTATATATTTGTGATTTCGTCTTTTGGGTCGGATTCGGATGCACCTACCATTATTAACAAGCTAGTGTACAACTTTGAACGCACCAAACCAAACCCTGGGACACCAAGCATGCTAAACCGTATATTTCTCAAGTTAATTAGGCATAAATCAAATGATCAAAACTTCAATTCCGGTATTGTTCGTTGAATGTGTAGGAGGTTCAGGTACAGAAAGTATATACCACATTATCAAAGTGCGATCACAATATCAGAAGGCGTGCACACGGAGAGAAAGAAAGTCAGAAACAGGAACACATAATATCTATTGAACATGGAAATTAATTAAAGCATCACAAAAAGGAATAAATCCAATTTCTCTAACAACGATGATTCTCCTTTAAGATTCACTTCAAACCCATGTTGGTCAATGTGTGGACTGTCAATTCTTAGAGTAGTCCCTGGTTCTAGCTCTTGGAGTTGGAAGCTGCGGATTGATGGAGCTGTTGATACAAGGCAGCCATCCTACTACTGTAAGAATCCATGGTGATTGGCTGAAAGAAATCAAAAACAACCTTGGTTTATTAATATGAAATAAATCTGCTTAATGGCTGAACAATAAGGTAAGATGGTGTTTCCTTCCTTACCTTTGACTGGCAAGAAAGAAATGTTGTCAAGGGATCGGGCATGATTGAGCATGAAGAAGGCAATCGATCCGCAGAGTTATTGTCCCATGAAGACAGAGGCATGAAGACACCAGAGGGGACAACAGGGGGAATTCCAGTGATGTTGGGTCGTGCAATGGAATTGATGTCCATCATACCCATTCCCATGTTCATCCCCATTGTCATTCCCATCTGAGCCAACATAGACATTTGAAACTGCTGTTGCATGGCCATTGGTAACATCATGTGTGGCATGCTCATCCTACTCATCATCTGGACTTGAGCTTGCAATTGTTTTAGGTATTCAATCACTTCATCTAGCATTGACGCTTTATCAGTCTGTAACAAAACCAAGGCCAGAAATTATATAAATCTTGTATCATGGAATGAAAAATCAAAAAGCTTAATACATTTGGGTCTGGCTCACTCTCAGACTCGAACCCTCTTCCTCACGCTTGCCAGCCCAAGATTGATCTTACCATTAATTGAACAGGATCAAGCAATGGCCCCTGTTTGGCAACTTTCCCCCTACCCACTTAAGCAATAACTGAATTCCCATCTTTTCTTTTTTGTTGGTAACTAAGATGTAACTGGATTTAATATCATTTATACATCTTTTATCCTGTGCACAGTGCACCCACAGGCCCCAGGTTTATGATTATCACTGAAAATGGTGAATGAAACCCAATTGCAGTGGAGAAATAAATATATACTATTTGTGGTGAAACACAGCACTGCTGTAATAAATAAGATTACAAGTCTGAAACTCCCTTCCAAGCTTGGGAATTGAGGATTTGGGATGTCTTAGCCCTCAATTCCCTACCCATAACATCTGGTACTTACTCCATTAACATCACTCTAGTATTTACTGTTTATTCAGGGGAAAGAAAATCTGAATGACAGTTGCATACACCCAAAAGGTAAAACAATTACATTACTTTATATGTAACCGATTTATCTCTAAGTGTGAAACTGTACAATTCCCCACAAGTAGTATGTCACAAGTGGCCCCTGCCACTGGACTGATATATGTGGCTGTAGGTGATTGTCTCTCTACACCTAACAGTCTTTCATCAAGTTGTCTCCATTCCATTGCAATTGTGTATGTGGACTAGTTTCATTTGGGTCATTTCCTTTTGATTCCCAACTTACTCACAGTCACAACTATAAATGATTCTCAATATCTTGTACCTTTCCCTACATTAAATAGAGAGTTTATTGGCATAAATTGAAGGAAAATAGTCATCATACCTTACTGGAATTTGGGACCAGCTTCTGTAAGGTCTTCAATTTTTGGTTGATTTTGTCTCTCCTTTTCTACACAAGAGGAAAAGGAGAATCATAAGTCATGATTAATTCTTTGGTTGATTTAAAACTACCCAACCATAAAAAACAGAGAATTAATGGAAGATATGATCAACTTACACGTTCAGATTCGTTATGAATTTCAGCAGCCCTGCTCCTCTTACTTGAGGTAAAAGATTTCTTCTTATTATCTTCATCTAACCCTGTTGGCTCCCTCTTTAATAACATAACAAAAAGAAAAAAATATAGTTGATTATTAGAAGCACTGATTTGGAGTATAAATTAATATGTCAACTAAGAAAAAATAAGTGTGCATGCCATGGGAGCATGCACTCACACAGAAGAAGAAAGAATTATTGCCTGAGATCCGCTATGACAAACCGAGTCATGGTCGTCGACCGTCGTAGGTTTGTTGTACGAGCCTGAAGGTTTTCCGGTGCTCGTGTTCTCCGGCGAGCCCAGAGAGTTGGAGGTGAAACCCGTGTCGGGATCCAATTCGTACGTATCAATAAGCGACATATCATGCCTACTGCTATCCCTGCCGAAGGTAGCACTGATACTCACACTCTGCTTGCTACTTCGCTCATGTGTAACCGGCACAAGAGCCTTCCTCGCAAGTTTCTTGGTGAGTGCTACCTCCTTGGTGCGGCGTTCGACAGTGCCGGCCTCACCGGAAGACTCCGGGCGCAAGGAGTTCGGTTCAGGCACGTGATTGGATTGGTCATCAGTCGAGGTCGTTCTGTTTGCGCAGGGAACCAAGGCGTCCATAGTGATGGGCTGAGCAGCGATGGTGCCATGGGGATAAAACCACGGCACGAGGTCATCACCGCCGGTGAGAGGAACCTTGGAGGGGTCCAAGCGTGTGGCTTGGCTGACGATGGATTCCAGCGTGCCTCCTGCACGTGGCTTCTCCCACGTGTACTTAGATGTCGTGGTGGTGGTGGAAGGGAGAGGTTTGCCGATGGGCCGATTAGGACCTAACCCGTGCAACGCCACTTGGCCGTTCTCCCATGTCAACTCTACTACTTCGGTGTTCAACCTGCGCCGACGACCACCATCAACAACCACCACGTCTACATTCTAATCTTTATCTTTTAATAAATAATAAAAGTAAGAAGAAAAATACTGGTCAGAACAACGATGATAACAATGATTATGGCCTTCTTGACGAGCATGAAAATAAATGGCTTTGATGCAGTTAATTAGTAAATATATAGACTTGAGAGAGAGAGATGGGGATTACATTGAAACGTCGGTGGCAGCGGAATCGGAGTTGGAGTGGGGATGAGTGGTAAGCCCGGCGGGGGTGGGAGTTTCGTCGAGGTCGCAGCGTGGTACGCACTGATTCATCTTGATTCTTGAGACTGAGGCAGTGGCAATGCCGACGTTGGTGTTTATGGTGGAGAGATGGACCGCTCAATACACGCACACAGAAGTAGGCTTTGTTTTGCTATCGAGATTTGAGACGAGACTGGCACTCAAGTGACTGTTCGTGTAAAGGAGAGTTTTGGGCATTCCGATCAGCAGGAATTGTGACATTATAGAGAACGAAAGAGAGATATGACGAGGAGAAGGAAAGAAGAAAGCTTGGAGATGAGATGTCTGTGGGTAGAAGTAGAAGTCGAACATGGGGAAGATGAGGATGAGAAAGTACCAGCAAGAGAAGAGGTATTATTAATTATGTGGTGAAGAAAGAGAGAGAGAGAGAGAGAAAAGGGGGGAGTTTTAAGACAGCGTATAATGTTTAAGTATCTGTTTGTTTGAAACTGTGGACGTTTGTATTTGATTTGTTTGGAAAACTGATGAAAAAAGTAATGATGAACCAGTTTGTTGACACTAAATCAGCAAAACAGTAAATAATATTGAAATTGAAGCCTATGCAATAAACGCCTACGATTCCAAATGAATATCTTTGATACCTTTGTATCTTACGGTAACTTGTAAATAATTATTAAAACTTAAGCAACATGTATAATGCTGGAAGAGCTTTGACCAATCAGAATCAGAATGTCAGAACCCAGCCACCTTGAATTGGGCAAGTGGTAGACACAGTCATATCTCGTATAAACGGTTAAATCATTATCCTATTAACAGGAAAGCGCGTCTGATGAGGACAATTGTTACGGTAAAGACACGTGGTCCAAGCGCCTCCCCAACCTAATCCCTCCACCTGTCCCTTTTTACAGGAGAATGGCCAAACCCCCAACCATTATTCACCCTTCATCACCATCGGATGACAAAAATTTCCACTTGTGTCATCCGGGTAGGGTTTAGTGGTGAACAAAAGTCGACCCGATGGTGCACGTGATTTCTTAGAAATTGATAAATTGTTTGTTTGGTGCTATTATTGACATGTTTTGAGATAATAAATTTATTTGGTTGTGATTATTAGTAATGATTTTTATATTTATGATAATTATTTTTTCTATATATCCATGTTAATGCCACATCGTTTTCTAACTAATTTGATGAGCTCTCAAAATTTGGCCAACCAAACATCAAAATAATCAACGATTTTTGAACTACTAATGTAGTTATCATGTGGCACCGATCGCCATCTATTGGCCTCAAGCACCACCTAAATCTCCCCTTACAAATTTACATTGGGTGTATAAAAGAAACCCTTGGGCTTTTAAACATCAAATAACATTTCTATTGATTGTTAGACAATTCAATTCAGGCTCTGTTTCATTCACAATAATTGGAGAAGTAATATAAAGAAACAGTATTTCAGAATATTAAAAAAAAAAAAAAAACTTGTATTTTTTTATTATTATTTGATCGATGTAAAACAAAACAGGGAATTAGGTGGGATTAACTTTAGAAATAAGGAAAGTTTGTTCAAAATAGTTTCTTAAACTATCCTTAATTGGCATATGGAATTAAAATCACTCTTTTTTCTGAGTAGTTTTCCCATTATACATCTACGGAGATGGTGTTTCGAAGCGTGGGCATTTTTTGGGATAGATTTTTAAGAAAAAATGCTCATGCTTTCAAGACCCGTTTTTCACAAAAAAAAATGCTTTTGCCACATAGGCAATGAACAAACACTATGCTGTTTGGTAAGGTGACTTTCATTACCGTTTTTCATGTATGTCCGACAGGTAAGCACCATATAGGATACACATCAGTCAACCGTTGGGGGAAACAGTTCACCGATTCAGCGTTTCATGCATCGGTGGGGTCCTGATTTATGAAACATGCCCAATTTTTCAATAAACGCCTGAATCAAACATTCATATATATGGGCATTTGTTGAGACGCCTATGTAAATCCAATGTAGCACCATTTTTTTTTTTTTGAAAAACGGCCATCGTTCCAAACATTCCCGTAATTAAATTCTTGGAATTCAACTTTTGTCGGCTTGGTCTGAGCATTTGTTAAATTTTAAATAGAAACGGGTGAGCCCTCACATGGTTCAATTATTAAACTCAAGCAAACCCGACTTACTGCCCTAGCTTTGTCTCACTTTCATACTTATTGCAAATCTGTTTTAGTATTGGAAACTTGTAATATTCAGACCCTATCCTTTAACTAGTAATATATATGTGCAAGGAGGATCATGACCCATCATCATTTGAATGGGTCCAACCCAAGATACAGCTTATGCCAAAAAAAAAAAAAAAAATAGCATGATAAGTATCACCACCAAAAAGAATACGACCACATAATATGCAAGGGGCTGCTGAATTTTTTTAAAGAAAAAAAAAAAAGATACTTCTTGAATAATGATTGTGGACCTGGCAAAAAGTTGACCTAACCCATGAACCCGACCCAACTCAATTCGAAAAAATAGGGTTAGGGTCTCATATTTAGTTACTTGAATTTGAGAATGGCCTGACCTAATCCAACTTGGAAAAAATTGGGTTGGGTCATGGGTCAACCCACTGACCTGATTGTTAGGTCTAATTGGGATTATTTGTGTATTCTTAGAATCTTTCTCTCTTTCATCTTTACTATTTAGTTTTTACTCTTTATTGGTTACTCTTTGAATTGTTGAATGTACAAGTTTTTTTATTTTATGTTTGTAATTTTTAAGATTAATTCCTTTAATTTTGACATTTTTCATGTATTTTTCTTTATTTTATAAAATTTCTGTTATTTTTAGGGATGACCCCAGTTGACCCATGGGTCAACCCTAACCTGAACATTTAGGGTTAGGGTCTAACATTTACTGACCCAACCCAAACCCGACCTATCCAACCCAATTGCCAGGTCTCTCTCTCTCCCTCTTGTTTCTCCTTCTCTCATCTTCCTCCAACCCATATGACCTCAGCTCTCCTGTATTCTTCACTTTCTTCTTCCCTATTATAGTGCATAGTCCTTTCTATTCTTTTCTTTTAGTGGTCCCTACCATTGCATATTATTGGCATTACAATTAAAATTTAAAAAGAAAAAGAAATCAGAAACCAGTGTAAGAAACCTGAGGAATAAGAAATAATTACCTACTAGTACTAGATTGAATAGGGGGAAGAAGAAAGACAATTTCTTTGTCCTGGTGCAGATTTCTTCTTCATGAATTCTTATTGAAATCTCAACAAATTCGAGAAATTATGTATATGGATTATATACATTATTTTATTTCATCATATATTATATGAAGAATATCAGATTACATGGATATATATATATATATATATATATATATATATATATTGGAGAATTTTTTTTATTTATTATGAAAACCAATTGAACTCCTTTGATTTGGCTCATAAGTAATTGTAATTCCTTTATTCTTCTTTGATTCCATCATATCTCCATGCATGCGAGCTTTTGGGTATTTTTTTTGGTATGGTGTATCCAGATTGGTGTGTGTATCCCTGGTACACGAGAAAAAAATCATATCTCCTTTGATTCCTCTCATGTCAGCTTTCAAGTCTTCTTCTTTTTCTCCTAAGATTCATCATCATCTTCTTCATCATGAATCCAAATCATTAAACCTAACATGATATATGTTGCCTAGCTAAAAAAAAAAAAAAAAACATGATTAGATATCCTTTTCATGTCGTACCTCTCCTAATGACTAAACAGTTTATAGACAAGATGCATTGAAAGCCTGGTCTACCTTTCTCCAATAATCAATTTGCAGTCAATGCCTCTGCTGAAATGGTACACCCCTTTTTGTTTTTTGGTATTACCGTAACAAACTGTAAATTCATTAAAGCTCAGTTTGGAATCAGTATAAATTCAATTATGTACAGTAAAAATACATATAAATTAAATAATACAAATTAAAATATATGGATTAATATTTGCACTCTACATATTCAGTTTGGAAGGAGTACAAATGTAAATATGTACGAGTGCAAAATCTTATATTTTGCATTATTTTGTATGTCTTTGTACAGTATATATTTGCATTTGTATTCTTTCCAAACTCAGCATAAGCTAAAACCATGGTGGCAAAATATTGTACAGGTATGGCCCAAATGCAAGGGATAGGGGAGGGTTCACAGGTATATATTAAGCGCCCCATTTATGTTTGGTGATATAATCCGGAAAGCCTGCATCAATGTTCAACCCAAACGCAGAAGCTCTTCCAAACGAGACCTAATTAAAAATGATACACCTTTTTTAACTTTAAGGCTATGGGGAAAATTTTTTTAACGAACAAATTACAAAAAAAAAAAAAAAGTTAATTTATACATAACCTAAATGCTTAGTTGAAATTGAATGGTGGAGCAGGATAATGGTATGGCGTAAGCATGCTGTCATGTGAAATATATATATATATATATATATATATATATATATATATGTCTATATATATGGTTAATGAGTAAGATCATCAATTTAATTTCAATTACTGAGTCAAATGGAAAGATAATTGTATATATGCTATATTTCATTTAATAATTTGAAGCTGGGACCATGTACACCATTATGTTTAAGAAATTAATGGATCGTCAAAGTGGATAAATTCATGGAAATCCATGGTGGACCATACCTCAACTTGTGTAAGCATTGCGTAAGAAAACTTTTAAATTAGGGTAAAATACAAAAATCTCCCCTAAAGTTTTTTTCAATCATAAAAACTTTCTTTTAGTTTCACTTTAATAAAAATCTCCATAAAGAATTCAACAAAAACCTCTTTTTTGTCACTAACCCAGACGGAAAATCATTAAAATTATGAGAGTGCCCCTGATTATTTGTTAGGGCATCATTAAAATATTTCAAAATATCAGAATTACCCTTGCTTCTCCTTCCTCTTGTCGCAGAACGAGGGAATGACATGAAATCCTTCTCCCAATCTCCCCTCACTGATTTTTGTCCTTGATTTCTTCTTTCACCATCTCTCTTCTCCATCCCCATTGTCCCTGCTCTCTTCCATCAATCCAGAGCAACCGAAAGGCACTGTTCACCTTCTTCACAGCGGCAACAAACAGAGTTTTGATAACTAGCAACGACAACCTCCTCAAAGCTCTCTCTTTCTCTCCGCTCGTCTCTTCCCTCTCCTATTTTCTTCGTTTTTCTTTCTCTCCCCCTTTCTTTCTCTTCTTCCCCATCTTCTGTTTCTTCTTCTCCTTTATGTTTTGCCTTACTTTGATTCTTTTGGTCTGCTTTCTCCTCACAAGCATTCTTCTTCCCATGAGCTATTCCAATCCTCATCAGCTCTACCAAGGAAGAGATTGCATTTGACATCTCTCCAATTAGTTTCCTCTACTCCTCAACTGAAAATAAAAATAAAAAAAAATGTAACAGCTGCTAGAATGTTTTGTA